TTGGTCACTCCAGTGAGAGTAATGGTGGTGAATGTACACCTCTGAGTCATTAGTTTTGGATATATTGGGTTTCTTTGAAACCATAATGTTGGGAAGTTGCTTTAAAAAAAAAAAAATGAAAACAGTTTTAGATTTTGCACAATCTGAATATGTCCTGCAGGCCACATGAATGCATTTATTGGATGTGTCCCATGAGTTATATATTTAATGCTCCTGCTCTAACACTGTAAGTTGGGTTAAGTGTAACTCAAACGGATCTAACAAAAGAATGTTATACTTTCCTTGTGCCACCAGTGAGCCCATTGCTTCCTCTGAGGAAGAGAAGTTGGTAGACATTGACAATGGCTTTGGTAAAGCAGCAAATTGGGCAAGTCCACTCTCTTTCAAAATCATTACAGGCTGCCTTTGAAATAAGGTGCTGCAAGCATAGCTATTTAGAATAAACACTTGCCTCTATTCATACTGCTTGGTACACTTGCTGACTATGAATTCTTTGTAGGGTGGGGAACAAGAGATGGAAAAGGAAATTATTGCCAGTAATTGTTGGTACTTCTCCCATTCCTCCACTTGGAGGGTATTGGTCATGGTGATGAGTACTCCAACTCTTGTTTATTGCTCAGAGATTTTGGAACTAGTTTCTCTATACTGGCCCCAACTTGACAGTCTTCTCTCCTTGTTTCTTGGTAGATGGAGCTGTGTAACTATCTATGGATTGTGTTGTAGGGTGCGAAAAGGAAGACAGTGACAGAATTACCTTTAGACACCCTTCTCTTCCAGTATTCTTTAATTCTCTGGAGTTTTGCAGTGAAATAAATAAATGTGGAGGAAGTCTCCTTTTGTTGTGTAACTGCAGTCACAAAAGTCCGTTTCTGTGTTACAGGAAAATAGTGGATTCTGGAAGGCATTGTTTTCATTTAGATGTTTAAATCAGTTATGTCAGTATAAAGAATGGTCTCCAATCCAATTCTAGAGATTTTAAAGATAGCACAGGAAGTTGCATTAATATGTAGAAACATGTTAGAGGCTTAATCCTGTACTGCTCAGTTGGAGATTTTGTGCGTATAGCTGATAAGGACAGACAGGGAGTGCCTGGGAAGCATACTCTGCATTGAATGTGCTACTGTGAAGTTTCCTAGAAACAGGAGTAAGGCCTAAGAGGGGAACAGGTTGCTAAGAAACTTGTTTATATAGGGAGTATTACACTTGAGCTTATGTACTCAAACATGTCCATTATCTTCCCTGGCTCCTTGTTGTCTGTAGCCTCTGCTCACATGTGTGGAGGAATGCAACAACTTTGTGCTCTTTGCTGGTGAGATACTTGCAACCTCAAGACTTACCTACAAAACACCCACTGAATACAAGCACAGTGGCATTTCTTTCTTTCTTTTTTTTTTTTTTTTTTTTTTTTTTAAGATAAAGTGAAATCTTTCCGGGCAGCTCTACAAGAGGAGGAACAGGCCAGTAAACAGATCAATCCGAAGAGACCACGTGCCCTTTGAAATGGGCCTCTGCTGCTAATGGATCCCCCGAACCCTTACTGCTGTAACATACAGTTGTTATGAGACGGTGGCTGTAAGAACTCAACTACTTGAAAGCGTAAAAACTTTTGAAGTCTCTGTGGAAATGTCCCGTTTCTCCTTCACCTGAATGACATTTTCAGTTTTGTGTGAAACACTTCAATGATGTCTCCAGAATGCTTCTAGACCAGACAGCACAGCACAACCATGCAGGGTTCAGAGCTGTGAAGCACTTTGTTTAAAAATTTTCATTTATTCAAATTGTGAATTTTATGTTTTGGAAATCTTTGCCATTTTTTTTTAATAATGAAGTAAAACTGTGGACTTGAAAAACTTCACTATTTCCTTTTAATGATGTTCAATTTTGTTACAAAGACCAGCTGTGCAGTTTTAAATTGTTTGCGTGCATGCACACCTCATCAGTGATTGTACATAACTTCTCTTCTAGAGATAGCTGTGCTAACCTATTCCCATTCTGTGCCTTGATGAAGGCTACTTGATCCTAAATGTCCTTTCTGAAGCACAGCCTTAATAAATGACATTCCTTATTTGTCAATGTAAATTACTTTTATTGTGTGTACATCTTTAATGTGTGTGAGCCTTTTTTTTTTTTTCTTTTTTTGGTGACTAGTTCATTTCACAGGATGTACAACAGCTGGACATTCCATCCTCGTAGAAATCTGGAATCATGATTTATTTGAATACCATAAAGAATGGTTATAAAATGCTAATGTTTTCTTTGTAAAGAACAATATAAATTAGTTGATGTATAATAAAAGGTAACATTTAAGTATGGAGGAGAGTTGTATGTTAGAATAATACAGATATACAGTATGTGTATAAGTGTGATAAATGCTGTCTAGAATAAAGGTGCAATCTGATCTCTACGTATGGGTAGGAGGACTATAAAAGTTCAGGGATCCAGTGAATAGCAAACAAAATACCTTTTCACATACTAGCATGACAACTTACATGTGCATTAACTGTAGTTTGCAGATAGTTTGTATGGAGTAGTACTGTTGCTTTAAAGAAAGTAGCTAATGCATATTTTTCCCTTTGTACAGTGCCAGCAGCTGAAAAGTGGGGTGAATATCATTTTGGATTTGCACAATAGGCTGCACAAACTCTACATAATGCGATATAAATCCCACAGGTACCTGAAGTCTCACAAATAGCACCATACGTATCCAGCACTTTTTAGGTGGTGGCACTTGAGTTATTTTTGCCAGTCAGTGTCCAAAAGAGGAAAAAGAGGAAAAAAAAAAAACCTTTTATGTAAGAACTTTTTGTCAAACAATTGTAGCCCTCTCTGAGTTCTCCCTGTTTCCAGGACAGATTCCAAGAGTTAATATCAGCAGACCCTAGGAATGGTTTTAAACTTGTTTTTTGGAACACAAGCCCATTTATGCTGGGACTGAAGGGAAATAAAGGGAAGGCAATGAAAAGAGAGCTAAATGAGCCACAGATTCTCAGCAGTTAATGTTTGTAACTCCCATAGGAAGGTAGGCTATGGGAGACCCTTGTTGCATCATGGTAAAAAGCTCCTATCTGTAAACATGAAAGCTGAAAAAGCAATGTAGATTTTACACAATGTGTTTAATAAATTAAACAATGAAACATCAATTAGAGATGAGAATTTACTTCTATGAAACTTGCATTTGCTTTGGGAAGGAATTTACTTTGTGATCACATCTATTGAAATTAGATGTATCTGTTTTTTTTTTTTTAAAAAATCATACTTAAAAGGCACTTAGTGCTAGAATGGGTGTTTGTTTTATTGTAATAACCATCCTGTACAGACTTGTATTGTTTTACTAACTTCAGTCCTTAAACAGCTATATCAAAATGTACTGATCTTTCACTGCATTCATCTAAGAATGCAATCCATCAAAAAATTAAGAGGAAATTTTATTAGATAACTAAGTAAAACTAGCAAAAGTGTTTCTGTTCATAGTAACTGATGATGCAGGTTAAAAGAATTCCCTGCTTCTTAAACCAAAAGTTTTAATTAAAATGATCTGAATTGATAAGTCTAAATCTCACTTTTCCTCAAGGTTTGAGCCATATCATGTAGAAGATTTATATACAAGAGGTCAAGATAATGTGGGTGGTGTTCCTCTAGCAAGTCACAACCTTTTTGTCTACCTGTAAAGTCTTGCAATACATATAGTGTTTTAAGATCCTCTGAAATGTGTCATCTAAATGTGATTCATTATGGATTATTGCATCAAACTGCAAATTAAGAATGGTAGATGCTATTCAGCTTGTTGTAAATTTCATGAGAAACTGTGCAGCTAGTTTAAGTATGAATCTGCTGTATTTTAGATAATATGCCTGCTCCTATCCATGTCCAATTTTTAAAATAATTCTATGTAAAATACACTTTACTTTCATCACTGCTGATGAGAAATATTATTCTTAGCTAAATGTTTCACTGACTAGTTCTTGTCTCCCCCACTAGGCCTCACATCACAAAAGAAATCATGTGGGTTAATAATGGAAAGGAAAGAAGTATGATCACTTATATATTTCCACTTTAGGGAGAGTAGCTTCTTAAGAACATTCTGCTATAATGGACAGCCAATGAGATCTTTGTGGTAAACAACATTCTCCAAAAGGTGATACACTTAGGGCAAGAGTTCAAGTGGATGTTTATAGTAAGAAATCAAGACACTTGCTGATTTGAGGTTTTAAAAGAATAGGATACCACACCAATTAAGGCTGATTTGTCTCAGCTTGCATAGAGGGAAGATAGAGAATAGAGTCTAAATCCTACCAAAGTGTGTGTGATAAAACCTTAGTTTTTACTGACCCTTCCCCCTCCCTGCCAAAAAAATGGGACCAGTGCTGCTGCTACTCCAGTCAGCTACTGGCTGCAGATTGGTTTGTCAAGCTAAGCTTTGCTAGTTTTGTATAGATGGCTTATTTTCTGCAGGCTGGGAGAAGAGGGCTGTTGTGCTAGCCTAAGGTGAATATAGGCTCTCTTGTCCAGACTCTGAAGCAATACATACTTATAGAACCTTATGATACAGAATGACATGCTTGTTCCTTATAAGATGCTGTGTACAGTATGGTTAAGGCAGTTTAAAGGCACCATACAATGTTTGTCAAACTGCATTGTTACGGAAGATTTTTATGTGAAAATGGTAGTATATTCTTCTCTGCCTCTGATTACAATTCAGGGTCTAGCAGTAAGATATAACTACAGCTGAAAACAAGTTTAGATATTTAAGAGGACTGTACCAGGCAAAAGAACTGTTCTGTCTTTTTAAAGCCTACCATGTTCTTGCTATCAGGTTGCACAGCCAACGTGCCCAAGCATGTTAACTGCCCCTACATCTAGAACATATACAGTGGTGATCTGCTCATTCTAGCAACCATTTCTCCAATAGTCCAGGGCCTATGGTAGCTACCAGAAAGGAAAGGTTAAAGAGATGCACACATCTTTTTTTTTTTTAAAAATTAATTTATTCTAAACTCTCATGAATTGGCATCATGCCACCAGTCTACAAGTAGTTCTGTGGTGGCCAAACAGAGGTTTGAGTTCCATTCTGAATGTTGTAATGGCAGGAGAAGTCAGGGAGGGAAGGGTTTAATTTGGGGCTTTTGGAGCCACTTCATATCATAGGGTACATTTAAAAAGTGCTCTGATGGGGGAAAAAGGCACATAGCTTTAGTCTTGACAGTTACAATTTTAAAATGTAACACAGCACCTTTACAGCTATTGTCTTCAAACAAGTACTTCTGAGCAATTATTGCAGAATAGTCACATGAACTTTGTATGCTGGTGATTGCTCTCAACATGAGAGTTCTTCCTCCTACGCACACCTTTGTTGACGTCACATTTCAGTTCTCCCTAGCGAATGTAAAATGCTCTGTTCAGGCATTTATGAAAAATGGATGCCTGCTGAATTGAAGCCATGCAGCACTCTGAAAAATTAAAATGGTCAACTTACATGAATTTGTACTTCACACAGTAACACTTACTTCAAATACTACCTAGATGAAGGGAGTGGGTAAGAAGAGCGAAGTCTTAAAATACTACTTTCTGTTTCAGTCATTACATCAAGGAGCTGTTAGCCCTCAGCCTGCGTGTGGCATCATCATGTGTAATAATGAGTTTAAGGATTTATAAATAATGCCCCTCACAGAAAACTCAGATAATTGGAGTCGAGGGCAGCGGTTCTCAGCCAGGGGTCCGTGGCCCCAGAGGGTCTGCGAGCCCTTGCAGGGGGGCTGCAGAGCCCCATGGCTGAAACCCAGTGCCCCCAGCACTATAGCTGGCGGCGCCGCCCCCCACAAGCTATATTTACAGTAATGTACTCATTGGATCTATAACATGTCAAAAGTTTGACATCTCATATCAAAAGAGTAATGTTTGGGATATCACTACTTTTCCCCGAATCCAACCCAGAGATGTGCCTTCATTTTTAGAACAGAGCACAATAAGTGTTTGAAGTATGAAGGGAATTCAGAGACCATGAGTTTACCTAATGAAGTCATCTATATCCATTGAGCGAGCCCGTTTTTCAGAGAAACCTGTATTTTTTAGAACCATCTGTATTTTCTCTGCAATTTTGAAGTTTTCTGGTATTTCCTGTCAATGTAAGTTGCAATACAGATAAGTTATTTCTTCAACATTAATGATTTTTAAAAGCTTGTTCATTCCACAAAAGTCTTCAGGTATCCAAGCACCATGCCCAAGCTTTGCTATACATCAAAGTGACTGACCATTCCAGATGAAAAATGCTTTAAAGAATAAAAATTCAGGTTGCCGTTTTCTCATCAAGGTATACACAGACTGTCCAACAAGCCTGGGTTTTGCAGGACTGTCCCGCTTTGATACACAAACCCCCAGCTAAAGCAGCGCCTGCCCCATGTGACTGGCTGGACTAGGCTCCCTGCTCCAGGCATTGTGACCTGGCCCCTGCTGTCCATGTTTGCAACACTGCTTAGGTTTGGTCTGGCCCCCAGCAGGGGTGGGGATGGCAAATTTGAGTGAGTGGCATTGCAACTTGGTGCACAGGATTGCAACACCACTCACTCAGATTTGGCCCAGGTGGGCTAAACCTGAGCAGTGTTGCAACCCATGTGCCAGGGTCCAAGTCACAGTACTCAGAACAGGAACTTGAGGTCAGCTAGCCCTGCAGAACAGGAGCTGCCACTGCAGAGCAACCTGCTTTGCACTCACCCTGCAATTCCCCTCCCGTCCCCACAACCTGTCCTCTCAGTTCCTGGAGGTAGTATCCAACCTACTTTAGCTACTTTGAATGTTGGGAGGTATGAATATACCTGAGAAAGAAGCAGGAACCATGCCTACCTCTACATTCATTCAGCACCTAGATCAGAGGTTCTGGTGCTACTAGAATATAAATCTATTTCCCCTTTTTTTTGCTTGCATCTTTGGCTATGTCTACACTTAGTGTAGAGAGTACAAGCACTACACATGCAGCTACAAGCGGCAGTGAAAGGCAGGCTGCATCCACACTTATCACTACAGGGTGTAGCTACGTGTAGCAGAAAAAGACTCCTGCAGTGGAGAGGCAGCAGGGAACTCCTGGGGCCTTTTCCTGCTGTCTGTACCCACTGGAGCCTTTCACTGTGGCGGGGAAAGGCGCTGGCAGCGGGACACAACAACACTAAAAATAGCAGTGTAGATGTGGGAGGCACTGCTTGGGCATGTAGAGCATGCGGGTAGGGCACTCTAGTCGCCCAAGCTGTGCCTCACCAGCTACACTGCTATTTATACCTGTGCTAGCCAAGTGGGCAGTGTCTGAACTCTACGTGCTACTTTAAGAGCAGATATAACTTTTCTGTGCCAAGCATGCAGGTACTGATTAGGTAGCCTGGACCTGATTTTAAGCATCCAAAAGGGAAACCACCACCCATTGAACACTACGCTAGTTCTAGTTTTATTACCACTTAAACCTGCTGGAAACTCATCTCAACCCATTTTAAAGTTGAGCATATCCACACTGAATTTAGCAAAAGATGCTGGTTCCTGTATGTTTGTCTATAATACTTTAAATGTATAATAGCATAAAAACCTTTGGGTTTGAGGCATCAACACAAAGTATATTAGCCACCAGTGACTGTAAAACCTGGAAATTTGGCTTGCTATACCCAAAAAAATGCTAAATATTAGCTTAAAAACAACTATCCCTCCCCCAAACAACTGAGGTTCAGTGTAATTTTAAACAAACATCTTATTTATCTGGTTCTTTAAAATACAGAATCTTGCACTGTTTAGTGCAATAGACAGACTAAAAACGTGGAGCGAAGAGGTTCAAATACAAAAGAATGAGTTTAAATGTTTGCAGAATTCAAAACACACAAAATACTGTGTGGTCCAGCTTAACTTTATACCCTCCCTTAAAACAATATTAAACTACTGAAATATTAAGCAATTACATTGAAGACATTTAAAATTATGGATATTATATTGATCCTGATACAGCCATCTTGCCAACCAGACAAACACTGAATCCTAGGTTAGGTGAACTAATCATTGTCAGACACAAGTCCCCTGAAATTATACACCTCCTCTTCTTGCCCTCAGGAAGAAGAAAATCAGGATAAAAACAACCAGTGGATAAATATTTCAGATAATGTAGTTATTTTTCTAGACTACTTAGGTTCTACAGCTACCTAATTAAAAAAAACTTTTATATCAATGGTTGGCTCTATATGCACAAAGAGAAGATCATAAAGTTTTAAGAGAAATTTATTTTTGAATAATGTATATCCCCAGAGCAAATTGGAAGTTTTGATGCAGCACCATGCAAGTTAGGAAGACTAAAGAACTGGACAGCATAGTGAATGCCACATTAGCCAGTATTAAAATGTGGAACTAGTGTATATTTTGAACAAAAAAATACTTTAGATTTTAAGTACAATTCTATACATAACAGGTTGCTGTAGCTGAAGTTAACCCGACTCACTGTTCTCTTCTAAGGATCTGGAATAGATCTTATTAAAAACGAATTTTTTTTTAAAATGGATCAGTGTATGCCTGGTTTCTAGATTTCTGTAAACAACCTTGAACTCACTGCAGATGAGTCACTAGAAATATTTTCAAATAGATGCAGTGTCAATGGTTTTATACTATGCCAAGGTCTGAGCAGCCCTTAGTGGGGAGGAGAGTAAATTACACCCTTGGAGACATCAGTGGAATCCCAATATATCCTTTGTTTCTAAATTCTCATGTAAACCTTCATTATAGTTTAGAGGATCTTAGAATTCTGTTTATTTTAGATATTCTGTTATTCTAAAGGTACTCTTAGGTAATGTTTGTTCTGATAGGTTTTAACTTCTGGATGAAAAGTTTTTTGTACCATCTTGCTGCTTTTGAATTTTACATCTTATACTTAGCTTACTTTGTATGTTACATTTAACACATTAAAAAGGAAAACCATTCTACTTACAATATTATGTATAGAACAGTGAATTCGATAATTCTGATCCAGCAGCTGCTGTACCGCTCTTGATCTGAAAGTGAGTCAATACAGTGAGTCAACCATTGATATAGAAGTCTAACTATATCTGCAGTGAAACCTGTTTTTTTTAAAAAACAAGTTGTGACTTGAGTGGCTGTTCAGAGGTTTTTATAATAAAGATGAAGCAGCTGTACTGAAGACACTGGGTGATCTCTTAAGGCAGCTGCCTATCTGGCATGTAAAGGTTTCACTGTATAATATCTCCATGACCACAGTGTAAACTGTCCAACCTTGCACTATGGGGATGCCTGAATGGTCTTATTAATATGGTTGTTGAAGCCAGGCTTGCTACAGAACTAGACTGGAGGATTGCTAGGCATTTTTGTAGGCAAAACAAGCAATTAGATAAACTCTTAAACTTTGAAAAAAACCTCTAATAGAAATAACTTACTTAAATGCTGCAGAGAGCGTCTTGTTTTTCCTGACAAAGGCTATCCTTACTAGACCATCCCATTCCTGAAACACAAAATGCACAACGTTTGCCTGAAGCAATACACAGCTGCTAACAACCAGGCCAGACTATCTACTATTAATTTCATGACAGCATAACGACAAAGAGGTAAATCTCAGTAATAGCACAACATGGCTCAGTCCTGTACAATGTAGTACAAATTGACAAGCTAAATACTTCACTGGCAAAGGTAGGCAGGCATTACTGAACTGCTAACTGGACAATCACACAGATATCTAGATAGCTAGAAGTCATATGGATGAAGAACATCTGGCTGAACCTGGGCAAAACTGGGGTGATGATATGTAAAAAAGGGAAACACCTTAATAAATGTCTAGAGTAATATTGCCCTGGAGTGTCGATCTTCAGCAAGAGTGCATAGTCTCTGAGTCCTAAAGGACTCTTCTTTGCTCTTGATCAACTAAATACTGCCAACAGCCATAAATGTCTTTTAAGCACTTTGAGGGCTATAGATGAAAAGCACTACAAAAGAGCTAGATATTATCACCACCAGCTGCTGGCCAGGAGCTTTTACCTTTCAGTCTGAGACAAACCTAACCACAGCGATCCTGGCCTGTGTCACTTCCAGGGAAGGAACAGGGGTTTTGAGGAAAGTTGAGTTTGAACTGCTGTTGGGGCATCCAGATAATGTTGGAAAGATACTCAGATGAGAGTCTGATCAAGAAGGGGCAAGGTACAATGGAGAGTCAATGAATGTGTAGTGCAGTGATTTTCAACCTGTGGTCTGCAGGCCGCTGAGAGTCTGCAGATTATGTCTAAGATTTCCAAAAGGGTCCATACCTCCATTTGAAATTTTTTTAGGAGTCTGCAAATGAAAAAAAGGTTGAAAACCACTGGTCTAGTCTATTGATATGATGAAGTTAGGCCTATTTAAACTGTTTAAAAAAACCCTTTAACACTGCTAATGTAGGTTACATGCGCTGTATTGTGTTGCTTTTACACCATTTGAAAGAGCATACAGAACGAAACATCGAATAGTACTATTATTCAGTTATTTTATTGGCTATGGTCTGCAGTATTTGAATCTCACCTGAAAATTAATAGGTGGTGGAGGGTTCTTTGGCTCTATTCTGACAACACTGGATTCAACTTTGGGTGGAGGCCTGAAATTATTCCTTCCAACCTGTTAATCATTAAAAATTAGGTAACTATCTCAAATAGCAGGAAGCAAATATTCACATTCTTGAGAAAGCCTCCTCACTCTGACATACATTCCTACATTAGTTATAGATGTAGTTTCACTTACTTTCATTAGATGATCCACACGGGCTAATAACTGAGTGTTAATTGAGAGTCTGCAGTATAGTTTATTCCCTGGTTTTGCAACCAAACGAAGAGCAAATTCTCTCTGAAACATAAGTATTGCACACCTGAGAATTAAAGAAATGAAAACATGAGTGCTATATTGCAAATAATTTATTCACAGACGCTCTATTACTTGTAGATTATTGGCTTTTCATTTTAAAGGCAGAGATGTGTCATACACTCATATTAGAGAAACTCAGCCCTGATGTAAGTCAGGCACAACTATAGCAAACCCACTATAGCACCTGCTTGCCCTTGGTCTGAACTTGGCTATTTGTACCTAGTGGTTAGAAGGAAATTAAGAGAATGTAGTCTCAGTCTTACGTGTACGACCTATGTGAAATAATTCCACCTGCTTATACCTCTCATTCTGGACCTCTGAAAGCCAGAGGTTTCTTCTGAAATGAACTTTCCTGAGTAAAATTGTTAAAATAGTAAATTAACAGCCTCCACTGATTTTAATGGTTTTTTGGTATTTCACTAAGTTAAAAAAGTGCTGATCACCAACCTTGCATTGTGCATGACAAGTTTGCTGACTGCTAATAGGCATACTGGTACCTAATGTCACTAATTAGTACTGCAGCAACGAGTCTGAATCTGCAGAACTGCCAAATTAGAATAAAAGTAAGCTATTTGCATTTCAAAACTGATCTAATTTTAGAAAAAGAAATAGTAAAAGTAGATACCCCCACTAGTCCTTCATTTCCAGTCAATGGCATCAGCAATAGCAGTACTCCAGTTCAAGTTAAACTATCAGCAAGAGCACTTAAGCAAGCTACGCAACCATATACACTGCTACCTCGATATAACGCCACCTGATATAACACGAATTTGGATATAATGCGGTAAAGCCGTGCTGCGGGGGGGGGGGGAGGGGGCTGCGCACTCCGGTGGATCAAAGCAAGTTCAATATAACATGGTTTTACCTATAACGCGGTAAGATTTTTTGGCTCCCAAGGACAGCGTTATATCGAGGTAGAGGTGTATTAAACATACAGTTGCTTTGATCTCCCTGGAGACACCCCACCACCCTCCAGTCCAGATCTGCTCTACTTCTCCATAACTTTTAAGATACTCTGCTTAGGCCTGGGGTTGTCCTTTCTAGAGTAAGCAGGAGCAAACTCCCATTTACTTTAGTGGGAGCTGCACTTGGTTATGGCAAGTCTCAAATTCTTCCTAGGTGTTTAACACTTTGGCACTGGCAATGGCCATTGGGAGTACTATGCTGAAGAGAGTTCCTGACTAGTGGTTTGCAGGGCTAATATCATTAACAATAATCCCAAATCAGATGTTCTGTAAAGTTAGTCTTTGTTTTGCATTAGGCAATCCAGAGAGTCTTGTCTATATACCTGAAAAAAGGTCTATGCAGCAACAGCTTGAAAACAAAAGGTGAAGAAATCTAGGGAAAGAGTAACACTGTTAGAGAGGACATACTAAGCCAGTACCATCAAAAATTCATGTAAACTGTTATTCCACTGCAATTGCTTTGCCCCTACCTGATAAGGCAAGTTAGCTACACATGTATCAAAGAACGGTAAGTCAGTTTTCAAGACATCTCCAACCTTTATTTCTAGTTTGTTTGCTAGGCATCTAGGGATGGAAAAAACACAGTTATTACCTTAGAAATACACATTTCTAAAGAGGTCAGGCCCCTAAAATGCAGTGGAGCTATTTCCAGTGGTAGTACTTACGTGCCCTGGACTCTCTTCTGAAGTTCACCCACAAGTCGTGGGTCAAGTTCACAAGCAATTACCTGAAAACAAAGAGTTATATTTGCAACTTTAACCAAATCAGAACTATGAATAGACTTTTTGCTATTATCTCAGAATAAGAATAGCTTTTGTTACAGACATTTTTAAAAATCTTACATTAGGATATGCACATTTTCTATCACAAAAGTATCAGACTATATTAAAATTTCAGAAGGATAACAAGGCCATTGAAGAAAACCACACATGTAAAGCACAATTCTTTACCTAAATGTGGTTGGATGCCTTGTAAAAATGGTAAAGATCCAACACAAATGTTAATGCAGTAGATAGATTAAAATTACATTGAGTATCCGATTGTCAAATATTCTTAACTTCACTTTAAAAGCACCATTCTTACTCTATCAGTGGAGTTGTACAGAGAGAAGGATATGAACACCCAGAAAGGAATAGATACATTATTTCCTCCCCCCCCCACGTTTGAGGACACTTTTTCATTTGTTCATCTACTAAGTAGCAGTTTGTTCAGTGAAAAATCAAGATGAATTTTCCTAACTCATTCTTACCTTTTTTACTTTCTCTAGCATTTTTACTGTCAGGTTACCAGTTCCAGGTCCTACTTCAAGGACAACATCCGTGGGCCGTAAGGCAGCCTAAGAACAAATGAGATTGTAGGAAACCAATAATAATAATAATAATAATAATAAAAAACAATATTGCAAAGTAATTTTAACTAAAGAATTCTAAGTGCAGACATTAACGGAGCTGATCCTGTATATGGTTAATAGATTTGGAGAACTTGTTTTCAAGGCAAAAGCAAAGTTGCCCAACAGTTTCACTTTTAATTGCATGCAACCTTTTGAAAATGTAGCCATTAGGTAATCATATCTCTGTGTGCACACAAAACCCTACATGTAACTTTGGCTCCACTTAAGACAATGGGAGCTTTGCCACTGACTTCAATGGGGCCAGGATTTTACCCATGACCATTCTGAAGGAAAAGAGAAAGCACTTAGAAAATCTTTCACCAACTGTACATCTTGAATTAACATTTCTCATACCTTTCAAGAGGCCAGGAAGGGATTAAGCACCTCAGACTTACACAGTATCCAACTTTAAGTAGTGCTGTAAATTGTTTACAAGCATTTGCCTTAAAAGATTTTGAGATAGAACATTTGAATGCAACTCTTATGACAGCTATTTTAATTAGTTAGGTCCAGTTATTACCAACCTTCTCTATAATGTTGTTAACAATGAGGGGATTTTTCAGAATGTGCTGGCCAATTCCAGTATTGAACATGAGACCTAAAATAAAGTATAACCAAGCCAGTTATATCACTATCATTAAAAATATCACAGCAAACTAGATTTTATACTTCTAAAGCAGTGAGTCACATTCTTTTACTGGAACTAGACCACTTTACCAGTCTAACACCTGGTCTACACCTAAAACTTAGGTCCACCTAGCTACATGGCTCAGGGCTCTGAAATAGCTCATGCCCTGTGTGACACTGTTAGGTTGACCTAACCCCCACTATACATGCAGCTAGGATGACAGAAAGTTGCTACCTCTCAAAGAGGTGGATTACCCACACTGACTGAAAAACCCCTTCCCACCGTGTAGGCGTGCTACAGCTGCAATGCCGCAATTGAGCCTCTGTAGTGTAAACATAAGAACGGCCATACTGGGTCAAGCCCACGGTCCATCAAGCCCAGTATTCTGTCTCCTGACAGTGGCGAATTCCAGGTATCATAGTTTAAGACATTAACTATAACAACCACTGCCTCTCTCTTTCCATTGATCTGTGTGTAGTACACTGATCCCCTTGGAGTATACAATGCCCTTGTGATTGTAAAGGCTGGCACTTAGGAGTAGTGACATTCCAGAAGCAGGGGAACCCACAATATCAACCACTGCAGCTGGAAATACCATTATTAGTGATACAGGGAACAACAAATGTAAAACAATAAGAAAGTTATTGGTGACACTGTATTCAGGTTAAAGCAATACTACTGCTAGGATTCTAAAACCACAACTACTTTTTTCACTATTGCATTTAGATAGAGCTCTTTTAGGATATGGATCTTGTCTTTTTACACAGCTGCATATCAGTAATAAAATGGGAATGACAACAGCATGCTCGCCAGTGTACAAGCACAAGCCAGGAGCTGTCATAAACTAGGAAACTTGGCGTAAATTCAACGCAAACATCGCAGTCCTAACACATGCAATATCCGTACCGAAGCTCAGTACCTGGAGTGGAGGCCATCAACCAAAGAGCTTACAGAAGAAGCATGTTCTAAGGAGAGCTTAAAACAAGCAGAGCCAACACTAGCCCGGCCAGGGCTCCATAGCAGAGCCCGCGGCTTCATCAGCTTTCACTAGGGCCACCGAGAGCAGACTGCAGCCGCCAGACCGCTCGAGGCTCCTGCCGGGCTTTGCCTCCCCGCGCACAGCTCCATCC